TGATGATCTTTCAAAAGAATTACAATCCTTATGTGATTGAATGGATGAAATCAAAACAGTATATCCCATATACCATCTTTGCATCAGAATTTCTTATATCTTATATAAAAGTGATCGATCTAATTGTGTAACCTATGGATGATCAATGTATCGCACAACTTCACCATACTAATGTCGGTTTCTGAAGCATAATCAACATCAATCATCCAAATCGTACACAACAGATGCCAAATTTAATTAATCGTTTATTGTTAAATTCATTCTGTGTTTTAATCGAATCAAATACAGAAAAGACGGAAATTTAACAACTATCAGATCCATGGTTTCGTAAGTGGCTCTGATACCACTGAAGGAAAATTGCGATCTAAACGCAGCGGAAAACAAAAATTTCCTTTAGTGATCCTTACGAATGAGCATGGTCAGTGATAGAATCGTTACCTCTTTGTGGCGATTCAGATCTTTGATGCAGCGATCACAAGCGTTGATGAAGTGCAACGCCTCTACTCAGTCCACACGAACAGCTTCCGGTCACAGTGCTAGCTGCTTACGAACGAAATTATTTGAGTGAGAAAAGAGAATCAAAAACGAAATTGCATCAAGTGAAAGCTTCATCACAAGGGTTCCTTTTATAGACTCTCTTGTGGGCTGCGGGCTAAAAACCCAATTTACATGACCCATAATAATATTATATATTATTATAATAACTATTATTATAATAAATATATTTATTTTATTATTATTTTATAACCATTATAAAATAACAATAATTATTATTATATTATCCGAATTTCTATTTTTCACTTAAGTGCACCGTACCTTACGGTGTTCCTTTGATTTCTCTATCTCTCATCAAACTGTCCTTATGTGTGTGACCCTGTAGGATTTCGTAACGTTGGTAATTATATTAAATTATATATTTAACATAATAAACAGTAAGCGGTATCTAGCAACACATCACTGCTACCCAAGTCACGAAAATGTCATGTGATCTGACAAAACCTTTTTCGTGATAATATATGTTTGTACAATTACCCTTTTGCCCCTATGTCTATATTGAACACAAGGCATACACTGTGTCATCCTTGTCCAGTTCAATATTGGGCCCTTAGACATTTCTCCTCTTATGCAGGATTGGCAAATTCCATCTAGGACACTCATGTCCCTCAGCATGCTTCGTGGAGTGCCCATCAACTGTCTTTATGATCATCCAGTTACGGATAATGTTTGATCAGCAATAAAGCACCCGACTCTACATCTAAGGTCCATAGTGGTTTCAGGTCGAAGGGTGGTAATACACCATTATCACCATGAGAATAACTTATGACACTTTGCATAACATACTATGTAGTATTCTCATAGCGGGTCAATCCGGTATAAATATTACTCCTAATATTTATACCTATGTCAAGACTTGATAACTCTTTATCCATGATCCATGAGATGTGATCATCAGTCTATCTTCATAATAGTCTCAATGCTTTTAATGTTATCCCACTTTGCAATAAAGCTTGACTACGGATATTTTAAGAATAATGTCTTTATGTTTAATGGGATCTCATGATTAAGTCACACTTAACATTTCATTAAACAGACTAACTATTCTAGGGACTTTATTATTCTGAAAGACAAACATAATAAAGAAATGCCTTTTATTATTAAACGAATAATCCGATACAAGTACCAAAAAGTATTGGCCTCTAGGGCTTACACCAACAACTGATATGTAGCACCGGGTAGTTAGGAATTCTTTTGGGTTCTTTTGTGATACATTTGTGTATGTATCTGCTGGAATGTTTTGTAACCATAACTTTTGACTTGAATTAAACTGTTGATGTATACGATGTTTATATGAATGAAGTGAATCAATGTTTAGATGTTTCCGCTTTTATTCTAAATATTGATGTGTGGGTTTTAAGGATTAAGTTCCTTGGTGGTGATTTACCCTTTGTTGCATATCTTTATGAGCATGTGTTGTATGTGTTTTGAATTTCCTAGATAATGTGACGTGCCTTTTTTATACCATGTGTTAATTATACTCTGATGAAATTTTTTATTAAGTGGCTAAATAATTTAATTGTTTATTTGGGGTATAGAAAGGGGGTGTTACAATGTAGTTAATTACTCCATTCGTTTCAAAATAACTGTCATTTTAGAGAAAAAAATTTATTTCAAAATGAATGTCATTCTCACTTTTTAATATAGTAATAATTTATATTTTTTCAATTGTGTCATATAATTATTACTATATACACTATTTTCAACATATTAACATGACCAATTTAATAAAAGTGTAATATTTTATGACAATATTATTGAATTTCTTAATATGTGTGCAAAAACCTTAAACAACACTCATGTTAAAACCAAGTGAGTATATTCTTATTAAAAATTGGAATTCATTAATTGCATTTATAATTATACTTGAATATTGTGATAACATCAATGAAAAAATATGTAGACACTATTTGAATACACAATTGTATTTGTACATTTAAGTGTTCACCTTGATAAGCTCAAAACACTTATCCGAAGTAATGGTTGTCATTGATTATCTCACAAATTTAAGTATCACTAAGAGCTCACATTTAAGTGTTTGTGCCTTTCAAAATCATTAATGTTGTATTTAAGCTATATTTGTGTTGAAAGTTGAACCTTATTAATTCCATTTACAATTATCCTTGAACATTATAATAATATAAATGGAAAAATATGCAATAATATTGGAATATACAACAATGTCTACACATTTAAGTGTCAATCTTAATAAGCTCGAAACACTTATCCCAAAAATTAGAGTCATTAATTATCTAACGAATTTAAGTGTAACCAATAGCTCACATTTAAGTGTTTGTGCTTTTTAAAATATTTAACGATGTAGTTAATACATATTTGTGTTGAAAATTATACCTCATCAATTACATTTATAATTATCTTTGAATATTGTGATAACATCAAATACAAAATTACGCACACGCTATTGATAATACAAAATAGTGTATGCACATTTAAGTGTCCATCATGAAAAACTCAAAACAATTATTTGAAGAAATAAATGTCATTAATTATTTCACAAATTTAAGTATCGTTAAGATCTCAAATTCAAATGTTTATTCATTTAAAAACTTAAATGATGTAATTAATTATATTCTGGTTGAAATTTGAACCTCGTTAATTTCATTTACAATTATCCTTGAAAATTATAATAACATCAATGAAAAAAGGTATATATGCTATAGGAATACAAAATTGTGTTTGCACATTTAAGTGTCTACCTTGATAAGCTCGTAACATTTATCTCAAGTAATTGTTGTCATTTATTATCTTATAAATGTAAGTATCACTAAAAGCTCACATTTAAGTGTTTGTGTCTTTCAATATCTTCAATGATGTAAATAAGCTATATTCGTGTTGAAAATTTGACCTTATTAATTCCATTTACAATTATCAATGAACATTAATAGTATAAATAAAAAAATGTGCAAACACCGTAGGGATGAACAATTGTGTCTTCTTATTTAACAATTCACCTTAATAAACTCGAAACACTTATCCTAAATAATGGTCATCATTGATTATTGCACGAAATTAAGCACCACTAAGAACTAAAGTTTAAGTGCATGTACCTTTCAAATTCTTTGACGATGTGGTTCAATTTGCTAATAATGAAAATCTTGAGGCCCAAGTTAGATATAATGATTCTAAAGATAATGCATCAAATTATAGGTTTGATGAATGTGATAATAAGATTACAATTAATGACGAGATTTTAATTAGTAAGTTGGTAATGCCCGAATAATATGAGAAAAGAGTAAAAAAGAATAAGTGTGAAAGGCATGAAGAAAAAACAACTCTAATTGCAAATCTGAGCCATTATATGCATAATAGGTCGGATAGTGAAAATGTGTCGGTAAGATAATTTTACTATCAACATTAAAAAAAAAAAGAGGAAGATGGTTAAAATTTTTAGGTGAGGAGTACAATACAACAAATTCATTGAAGTTTCAATCAATGAAGATGATGATGGTAGTAAATAACATTATCTATCATTTATCATAAATAACAAACATGTAAAAACAATAACTTTCAACAAAAAAAAAAGTATTGATTTTTCTTCGTTCACCATCTTTACAATTTATTTGTTTAATTCAAATATATTTTTTTTAGTTCACTTTGTAACTTCCTTATTCAATTCAGATATTTTTCTTCATTCACCGTCTTCGTATTTATTCTTGAATAATATTGTTTATATTCCACTTAAAAATTTACATTTAATTTCATTGTAATTTGTCTAAATGCATACAACAATATATTAAATATGATCCTTCAAATTTAACAGTAGTAACAAAATGATCATTTAAGTTATGACTTTGTTGCAAGCAAAAATCACATGGTTCTACAACTTTATCTTCAACCTTTAAACCTAATAAAATAAAGTTAAAACTTATCACCTAATTTCTAAACCCTTAAATCTACTCCCAAATGTTTGGTACATTCCTTTCCTTTTTTTATAGTGTGATTATAACTTCTTTTTGACACAAACATATAGGTGTTTAATTTCTTGAAAGATGAACACTTGAATAATTTCTTTAAGAGCAATAATTCATTTTATTTGAAGAATAACTACATTTGAATTTTATAGAAAAGAGAAACAAAAAAATTGAGTGTTTACTTATTATTTAAGGATTTTTTTAGGTTTTGAATATTTTAGAAAAATTTATTACTATAAGAATGCATCACATGCATACATGTTAAGAAAGATGCATCGACACTATAAAAGACTAAATAAAATTAAAAAAATCTTGGTCAACTTTTTTTTAGCGAAGTCTATATATTTTTTTACCAATATTACAAAATTTTAATGATTTAAAAAGACTAGGTTAAAATATAAAATAAAATAAAAATGATCAAAACATTATTAATACAAAACTTAATGATGAAGAAATACATTTAACTTTATTTTTTCAATAGAAATCAAGATAATAATTGTAGTGACCCCTAACATGGCGACTATCCCTTTGTTAGTGTTACCGATCTCTCTCCTCCACCGTCGACCTTCTTCTCCATCTCTTCCAACACTTTCTCACATCCACACTTTCTCCACTCCCATTTTCACAAACTCCTCAACCAACAAACCTTCCCCACTGCACGGTATCAATCCCAGTGACTCAAGACGAGACAATCCTCTCTTTTTGGACGAAAACAATGCGGTGGTCGATGATATGGACGGTTACCTCAATAACCTTTCCCTCGAATACGAATCTGTATGGGACACCAAACCAGCTTGGTTCGTCATCATCACTATTTCCTTGTCATTTTCAGTTTTTCAATTTTTTTTTGTCGGAACTAATTATGTTGTGCTTTGTTTAGGTGTCAGCCATGGACAATTGTGGTTACAGGGGTTTCAATTGTTGCTATTAGTTGGTTGATTTTTCAATCTGTTGTTGTTACTTCAGCCATATCCTTACTCATTTTCGCATGGTGGTACATTTTTCTTTATTCTTATCCTAAGGTTAGTTCCTATGAAAACTATTAAATTACAACTAACATGCTTATTTATATACAATCAAAGCCCAGACCCAAACATACAAAGTTATATTTCGACATAACAACTATATGTTGTATACGACTCTGTCGAATACATCTGACTCTATAACTACTTCGACTAGGTTACACAATCTGTCGAACACAAACTACTAAATGAAACCATGAATTACATCTTCTAACAGTTCAATGAAAAAATAGTTTTCATTTTAATAGTTTATGAGATAAATTGATAAATGTGTGGTAATTTAGAGACTAAGTTGATGGTTAGTTTATTATTAGTCAAAGTTACCAAGATCGGGATCTTGCATAAGATCGAGAGGAGATAGTAAGATCGTAACTAAGATCGAGAGTTCCTATCCAATTATTTTTGTAAGATCGAGAGGGGGTAGCAAGATCTTAAAACATAAGATCATAACAAAAACCGCAAAATACTACTAAAATGAAAAATAATACTATATATTTGAAGTGTTTTTACATGATATTTTGATAAACAAGTGTTTTGTGGGAAAATGAGCGCCGTCGGATCATAATTGGTGCACCCTTGCATCTTGTCATCCTTTTCGGATTGTAATGGTGACAGCCGGAAAACAGCCGAGCATTGTCGGAACTGGCCAAGATCAAATTAAATCAATGATTTTGCGATGTTTTCTCAATTTGGCTACAACACATGATTCTACTTAAGATTTGGATCATTGGGGTCAGTGAAATTGCAAAATCGTTAGATTTTAAGATCTAGATCGAGATATTGACAACCTTGTTAGTAGTAATTGCATTTTTAGAAAGTTTGTGTCCAATAGACTCATTCTTTGATAAGTAGACTAATGCTCCGGTAGCGATGTCCAGATAGTGTTTAAACATAACTAGTAATTTAGTAGTACTATGTAATCCTAAATATTGCATTATAGAAAAATCACAATAGCTACTCTGTTATATGTTGTTGGAGACATACACACAATTGACCGAACTTTGTTGCCAATCATCGCCCATCACCGTGCTCTTATGTGTTTATTAAATTGTTGAAACGCAACTGTATTATGTAATCCCAAACTCATGAATGTTCTGCTTTTGTTTGAAGTTAAACATGCAATATTTCTTGTTCTTTGTCAGGCATATTCAGCAATGATTGCTGAGCGAAGAGAAAGAATTACAGATGGTGTTGAAGACACGTATGGTCGAAGGAAGTAGCAGGGATTTGAATTGAATTATTCCCACTCTTCACTTGTGCTCATCTTTTATTTATGTCTCAGATGTAGCCTCTGCTTGTATTTTATATTTTGTTAATACAACAGTACATGTTAAGGCTTTTATTCACATTATTTCTGTAAATTAGCTCAGAGATTATACGGTGAAGGAATCTTGAGAAATGTTCATTAGATTTGGATCTGTGGAAATGAGTATTTTTCTGTAACAAATATGCAGCACTTATTATCTGTCATATAAGCTTTGGTCTATTGCATTCGCATAATGATTTGTGATGTGCAGAATTTAGAAGAGAGGATTTAAAGAGGGAATTTTAACCAACTAAAAGTTGCTACTAAATGCAAAAGAAGTTACAATCTAAAATTTCAAAGTATTGGTAACTTGCAAAAAGGGTTAGAAACAGTCAAATAGTTTATAGCAGAGTCCCACTATCATGATTGTTCAGTCTCACACCATCAATAGAGTGGAAGGCAAAATCATTTCCAACCATTTTCATTTTTCCATTTATTGTTTTATTGAGGGAAACAAATGCTGGAGAATTTTTACAATTCTGACATGAATATCATGTTGTCTTTTTCTTTGTGAATAAATCAATTAGGGTAGGTGGTTTGTGTCCAGACAGTCATAAGTTTTTAAAAGTCCTATCTAGATTAGTCATGAAAGTCCTATGTAGATTAGTCATGATACTACTGGGAAAGGGCTTATAGGGCACATATTTTGCCGTGGTTTAACTACGACAAATACTTAAATACTTGATGAGGCTCTATTTAGCCATCGGTTGGACGCGGAAAATTTTGAACCATACACGACAGCTCATCTGCACACAAAATATAGATAAAGTTTCTCTCAAAATCTGTTTAGATAAAACACCTAACCAATTTTGAACAATATCTGTTTTGTGCCTAAACTTCCATGGTATGAAAAATGGAAAGTTCCTCCAAACTTTTGAAAAAAAAGCTGATCAAAACTGAACTTCTGTCAAAGAATTCAGTCTTGTTCAAAGTGAAAGATCAAACTAATAAATTTGGAGTGATTATTGAAAATAAAAAAAGAAAACAAACATTGGAATATGATAGAATAACATAAGAGCTAAAAAAGTGAAGTATTTAACAGATTTATATAATAATCTGATCACATAATTCTTGAAAACTGTATGATCTAACAATCAAAACATCACTTCAATTCACTCTATAACAAGATTCATCTCATGTATTCATTTAACTACTCATTTTTCCAAGCATACAAAGTAAGAGAAAATCCAAGCCCCTGCAACTGAGAATCTCTAAACTGCTGAGAATAAGCCCAACTCATCATAACAGAAGGATCAGAAACAGATTGACCAGACCACAATTTCTCAGCAGAAACACAAGTTTGAAACATGAAAACAGCATTTCCTGCAACATTCCCAAACAGCCAATTATGAACATCCCAAAACACTTCGACCGGAAAACTATCCACCAGAATCGTCTGATTACCGCGAAATTTCCACTTCAATTGCTTCACCTGCATCACTATCTTGCTATCAATTCTAATCACAAGACAAGGATCATCAGTACTCCCAATAACAGTATCACACTCAATTCTCACATCATGGATCTTACCCTTGTCGCAAAATTGCGCTTTTGCAGAGTAAAATCTCTTGCCAAAAACATGTTCTCTCTTCGCGATAAAAACTGCATCAGAATTATAAGCATCAACATTGTTGTCACAATCAATTTTCTTGCATGCTTCCTTTTTCAGATCTCCTAAAAGCAAAACCATCTTTTTGTTAAACAAAACAACTAAATAGTACCCTTCCAATGGTTCTGGACCAGAACCAAATTTAGCATAGCTCAAATCCCAAAGTATAGCAATTTTACTAGATTCAACTTCCAAATTCTTACACCCTTTTCTTTTTGAAAACAACCATGGCTTTATATCAACCTTACATAAACAATGATTACCCAATTCCTCAATTCCAACACTCAAGCCTTGACCCATCAAATTCTTTGTCCATGAAACTGTAATCAAACATGAACGACCTCTCAATTTACACTGATAGATACAAGTAACCACATTCTGTGCCCCTCTCGTGGAGCTTGAAGAGGATGATGAAGAAGATGAATCTGCAACCTGCACGCCATTTTCTCCAAAACAAGAAGGAAACTCCTTCATGAATCACCAACAGCAAAAAAAATCTAAACTTTTTCTTAAAAATCTGATCTTTAAGTGGTTTTTGATCATGCAGTCAAATTTTCAGGTGAACCCAACAAAAACCATGGATGAAACTCTTGAATATCAGGTCCAAAAGACTTCATTTTTATTCATTTGGAATGAGATGTCAGAAGAAAAAAGCAAGATTTGCTTTACCTGTCAATTCTATGATGAGATTGATAAAGTAATAAAGAAAGCAAAAATGTGTAATTTGAAAAATTTGTTGAAAAGAGAAGTTGCTTTTAGCACATGGGGTAGGAAGAAAAGAATGGATAGAGGTGTAGAGGGAGTTGAGAAAATTGGTCTAACCATGAAGCATGGGTAGCTATTGGGTATAGATTTGCTGCATAAAGACATAAAATGGTGTTTGTTTTATACAGACTTCACCTTGCTGTCTCTGTCTTTTTTTAATATTAAAAAAATGAAATGATGCAAACCAAATTATGAAAATTTTATAATTATGTACCTGCTAAGAGGAGACATAGTGGTTAAACTGTTGAAAATAATTACTATAAAAGATGATTAAAATCATCAAATTAACGTAATTTTTAAGAGTAATATTGGATGCACAGCACAGCACAGCACATCACATCAGCTTAGTTTTAAGCTGGTAATGGAATATATATATTAACAGTATTGTCAATAGTAATTTCTGGTGCAAAATGCACATGTTTGGTTTAATTTGTATAATGTATAAAAGATGAAAGAAAAATATTATTAAAAATAGTTTTTTATTGGAGGATGCATAAACTTAATTTAAATATTTTTTATTGGAGGATGCATAAATTTAATTTAAGAATACATAGTGATATTTTTTAGGGGTGTCAAAAAGATAGTTATTGTTAATCAAATTATTATTTAAATTATTTTATTTTTAAAAATCCAAACCAAATGGTAAAATATAGATGGGGTTATCCATTTTATTATCTAAATATAAACTGGTTTTAATAACAATAATAATAATAATAATAATAATAATAATAATAATGTTGTTTAGTTATTAGGTATCCAAATTTCATTATTTGTTAAATTGATATGTTTGTCTCTTTTTATGTTTTTTTATATACATGTTATAAACCAATTTTATATTTTGTACTATTTTAAAGTTAATTTTTTTTAATGTCATAAAAAAAATATTTAAAAAAAAAAATCAGAATTTTGTTTTTCAAAATGAAAAAAAAGTCAATTCTATTACTACAAATTATTTGTAGCTTATTCTACATAATGACTATTAAAATTGGTGAGAATTCACGCATAACTAGAAAAATATTATATTGATTGAATTAATTCTATTACAACAATTACATAACGGTAATCAACATAATCATTATAACTACAATACCCATTCAATTTTCACGTAATATAAACCAATTGTTTTTTAAAATGCTTTTTTTTTTTCAAAGAAAAAATATTTTAAAACCATATTAAATTTGTTTATGTATTTAAATTTAAGAATTGATATAATTTAAAGGAAATAAAATTAAAATTTAACTAAATAATTTAGATTAAAATCAAAATCCATTTAGAACCGGTTTTAAACCGGTTCAAAACAAGTGGTTTGGTTTATAAACCATAACCATAAAAATGGATTAGTTCATATTAAATGGTTATCCATGCACATCCCTAATATTTTTTAGCTGTATTATTATATTTGTGAGCATCTTATACTAGGCGTTCCTGCCCAATAGCAGTATTGTCTAGGCGATGACTGAAGGATTCACCATGAGTAATGATACGTGTAAAACCGTTAGTAAAAAGAGAGATAGTCCATCATCACTTTCAGGATGGATGATCAATAATTTCTCTTAATTATGAGGGAGTCGTTATCACCATTCAGAGTTATCCAAACCTAGACCTAAAAAACTCTATAAATACATCTTTCTCAAAGGAGGATAAGACAAATCACAACTCACTCTGATCACACCCTTCACACGCTTACAACAAACACGTCAACCATTTACAGAGTTTCTCACGTCACGTAAGTGTTGCACCCCAAAATTTGACCAACATTTATTTACCAAGTTTGTGGTTCATTGTATTCATCATCTGCATCTCATTGATATGTGGGCAGTAGGTCAAGAGGTATGATTACCTAGCAAGAGTTATATGAGGCTATGAAGGAAGCCAAGAAGTTTGTTCAAGTGTTCAAAGGTTGATACCTTTGTCAGAGAACTCAAGAGATCCTCAGAGAGATTGGTTGAAACCAAGGTTGTGTGTCTCATAACTTGAGAGTTGTGGGAGCTCCTCAGATGATTCTGGGACTATGAGGATGGACTTGAAGCTTTGAGAAAGCTTATGAGATGTCTTGAAAGCCATCATGAAGCCTAGAGAGGTCATTGTACAAGAATTCAGAAGATTCAGCCATGAGTGGTGGAATTAGGGTTTGATTGGGTCAACCCTAGGTCAACTGATGATTTGGAGAGGGTTGAGACCTAATCCAAGAGCCATGTGATCATGGAATGATGCATTGAGATGCTATAAGGATGATTCCTAGACCAACTCATCATGATTGAGGAGTTTGAGAAGTTTCAAGCTAGGGTTTCTAAGGATTGACAGTGTAAAATCCCCTAGTTTGATCCCTATCTTCAAGGCAATTTAGCTCAAGATGTGAATGTCATCTCATCTTCCCCACAACATGAATGTTGTAGAGCTTGTTCTTAGCTTTAATTTGAGTACTAGAAGTCCTTTATAGGATTTGTAGAGCTCAAGTTATGACTTTGACAAATTACAGGTCATCTGAGGTATGTGAATCTGGGTCCTTGAAAGTCACCCAACTTGCATCCAACTTTTGCCCTAGTAGGATGATTCCTATGAACTCTTGGTCATCATGAATGTTTTAGAGCATCTTCTTAGCTTTCTAGAGAGTACTAGAAGTCCTTGATAGGATTTGTAGAACTCAACTTATGGCTTTGACAAGTCAAGGGCATTTTGGTCATTTGGAGGTTATAGGTCATTTCAAGCATAAGGCCATATCTCCTACTTCCAAGCTTCAAATGGAAAAATCTTCAACATCAAACTTGCTTAGAATGATGTTTTAAGGCTAGTAGGGAGGTCATGAGATGTTGAAAAGGCTTGTATCAAAAAGTGATAAAAATGGCCTAAAATGGAGGCATAAGTTAAATAAGGTGAAATTGAAAATTGGAAATCACAAGTTGTACATCCAAACCATGTCATATAATAGGTCATTTTGACTCCAAATGACATTCTAAGAACAATGGTTCAGCCACAATTTTGATTTGAGGCTTAGATCTTAGGGCTGCCTTGGAAATGGCTTACTTGCATATTAAGGCACCAAAGCAAAACTCAACAAAACTCAATAAACAAGTTGGTTATGCATTGTAACACATCATAAATCTCATGTGGGGAGAATTTCAAGTCAATTACAAAGGTTACAAGAAGCTTGGCATGAGATAGCACATAAGGAGAATTGAAATCAAAATGTCATGACATGAGAAGTTCAAATACTCATTGGATGGTCCTAGATGGTTCTATATGATTCTAAACCACTCTATATATCATGTATGACTTGCTCAGATGCAAGGTTGGTGAGAATTGGTGCAGAGAAGAGAGAGTGAGATCAGGAATCTTCCATTGCAAGTCAAGTTTCATTTCTTCATTCTTCTTCATTTCCATTCATTCTTTCCATTCAAACACATTCTATACATCATAGTGAAGGTGCGCAGATCAAATTGAGGGCAATTCCATTGATGAATCGTGCATGAGCTTTTGGATTTTCACCTCTGCAATTCAAGATCAGTTTCCAAGAATCAAGCAGTTTCAACCATTCCTTTTGCATACAGAAGCTGAAAGACTACTCAGTGAAGGAATTGGGAAAGATTGAAGGCCTGAATTGAAGGATTTCTCCATCTGTTCACTCGATTTTACCAGGTTTGTAACTTTCTCTCTACACTCTAATTTAAGTAGAATTAGATAGAATTAATAGGTTAGAATGGTTAAGGATCATTAGGAGATCATTTCTGGAAAGTTTGAAGAGAATTGGTGATGGTTTTGTTGTTGACAAGATTTCTGTTTGGACCAAGAACGCCTTGAATCTTGAGTAATAATCTTAGTTCTTTAGTGGAGGTTGATCAATGATAGGAGGTGAACATTTTAGCGTAAGCAATTTCAAGAATCTTGAGTTTTGATGTTCAAGCATAATTTGAGGTTTGATTCGTGTTTTAAGTTTGAGTGAGATTCAATGGAATTTGAGATTATGATTGTGTTCAGCATGAAAAATGGGGCATGTTAGGGTTTTAAACTTTGAGTTTTGATGGAGATATGAGGATTCACGATTGGGGAGAATTGGTGTTCTTGAGCTCTGTTTTAATGGAGGTCTCCCTCCAGAAATTTGAAATTGGAGAAGACGATGTTGTGACCCTAGGATCGAAGGAGACTTTTGACTGGAATCTTGATCTAACGGCCATCCACACGTTTCAGTTTGTGAAGAGGTTTGAACAAGGCATGAAACGCAGACGTTTCATTTAAATCCTGGCTTGGGCTTAAGTGAAATCTGATGTCCAAACCCCACCTTCGAGGCCCACTCAATTTTGCACTGTATTGGATTTCTATTCGCACCGTGGTTTTTTCCTTTTTCTTTTATTTTTGTTAATTGATTTTCTGAGTGGATATTGGGCCCAGCGCTTATACTTTTCGTACCCCCCATTCTGGGCCCATATGAAATTTGAACTGCATTGCCTTGCTAGCTGCACCCACCCCTTCATATTTTGATTTTATTTTCTCCATTTTATTTCAATCTTTGAAAAAATCATATCAATTTGAAAACTAAAGATTTTTTAATGGGAATTTTTGCTCCCATTTCATATTCATGTCTAGAAAATTGTCAAATAAAAATATTTTCCTTTCATGCATTTTTAGTATTTTTTGTATATTTTCTACTTTTATTACATTTTATTTCTTTTATGTTGATCCATGAATTTGTAGAATTTTGTTTAGCTAGTTCC